AGCATTTCTGCTATGCTCTTGAAAGAAAGATAGTTTCTACAGCAAGCTTTGCGCATAACTGCATAGAGGAGTGAATGACAGGCACACCATCCCATGCAATCCTGCTGACGGTCATGAAGCTGGAAGTAGTTTTTGCCCAGAGATGAAGGCTCTTTTGCAGGCTGCATTGTATCACTGTACTGGAGAAGATAGGGAAAGCCTGTACTCAAACCAGTTAAAGCTGTAGGGAAGAACTGCTGTCACATGGAACTGCCTGGAAGACATGATTCATTTTGGATTATATTGGTCTCAACTGGTATAATACGAACTTCCTGATTTTTCGAGGATATGTAGACAAAAAGATTAAATATGGGTTTACTCATCTTTTAATTTAGAGGTACAAGTGTTTGGGTGACCTGTGAAATCATTTTAATGATTTCTGCACAACACTGATCCGTCAGCTCTATGAATGGCTTCCTAACTGGGTATTAATTTCCATCATGGTCATTTAGTCTCATCAGCAGAGCTGCGTCCATGTGAATGTCCTGTCTGTGTCAAACTGAGGGTATAAAAGAGAATCACTGTTGCCAAGAAGCATCAGTCAAACATCTTCATAATACTCAGTTTGGAGAGGAAAACAGAAACACAAAGTCTAGGAGTGCTGTGAGTGTGTCTCTTGCCCTTGGAGCTTCAGGCACAGCAGTCAGGGGATGATTTGCATTCAAATCAGAGCATGCGATCCAGCATTGCTCATACTAGTTGGCATAGACTTACCCTTCTCCTTCCTTATAGCACTATGAAAAGTAACAGGGTAAGAAGTACTCCAGTGAATGAGAAGTGTGACAAATTGGATTTGAAACAACTTCTGACCGCTGTTACAAGATGAATATAGACTCCTCACGTGAGGCTGCCCTTTTGTTCCCCTATAAAAAGCAAAGAAATAGTTTGACCAGTAACTGTGTAGGCCATAAGGATGCATCTAAGATATTGACAAAAGGTAAAGTATTTGAAATTTGAATTGAAAATTTGAATTGAAAATTTGAAAAGAGAATGAGGTATGTGGTGACAGAGGAGGAGTGGAAAAAGTGTCTTGTAGAATATGAACAGTTGGGCTTTGAACAGCCAAAGCTCACAGCAAAGATAAAACTACCCAAACCTTTGCATACTTCCTTCATTAGGTGGGTTTTTATCTGCTCAAAATCACAACTCTTATCCTGAAGTTTTAAATCATCATCTTTTGCCTTAGCTCACACATGCCTAATAGTTCAAACATGGCAAAAGGAACCCTGCTGTACTTTGGATTTGTTCTTGTATGGGAGGCATTTAAATGACACGATCATAGTGTTTTTCCAACACTGTCGCTCGTTCTTTCCCTCTCATGTTTAAGAAAGTGGCTTAAGGTTGACTTGTACTTGAATATAATATTAAAAAAACCCTGAATTTTGCATTCAAGTGTGTGGTATTTCAGCAGACACACATTCATTTTACAGTAGGTGTTTTTTAAACAGGATAAAAGTAAAATGTGAAAGTCCTGCGTTGCACAAAGCTCCCCTGACATACGATCACCAAGCTCCCCTTACATCTGATCCCTGACACAAGCGAGAGAGCCTCTGTCAGAGCAAAATAAGGTCTGCTATCTTACTCTTCAGGCTCCTGAGGAGGATACATAATGGTTCAGGACTCTTGTGTCTTGTGTGCAACTTTATTTTGCTCCTTAGCACCTCTTTAAAGTATCTCGTTCTTGGCTTTTTTATGGTTTCAGTCTTTTCCATAACCAAGACAGATTCTCTTTCTTTCCAGCTAGTTGAACATGCAGTCGCAACACTCTTTGCATCAGAGGTGTCCCCCTTGAAGCCTTGAAGTGATCTTTTAACTCAGTGAACACAAAGCTTAGCGTAGGACAAGGGGCAATGGGTGTAAACTGGAGCATAGAAGGTTCCACATTAACATCAGGAAGAACTTCTTTACTGTGAGAGTGCCAGAGCACTGGAACAGGTTGCCCAGGGGGGTTGTGGAGTCTCCCACATTGGAGATATTCAAGGCCCACCTGGCCAAGTTCCTGTGTGATGTACTCTAGGTTACCCTGGTCTTGCAGGGGGGTTGGACCAGATGGTCTCTTGAGGTCCCTTCCAACCCTTGGGATTCTGTGATTCTGTGATTCTGTGTCTATACTGTGTCAAAGTTTCCAAAGGCATCACATCCATAACAGTTAAAGAGATGAAAGGGGGGTGCTTGGGAAACTTCTCATGATCCCCGCACACTTCCATTCCTCTGGTCTGGGGTGACCTAGGTGAGCCAGCACTGCAGTCCTCGCAGGACTGGATCTGGCTGCTTTTGTCTGGCCTGCGTTCATCCTGATGCCTCTCCCAGGCTGCAGCAAGAAACACAACACTCCTGAAACCCAGCTCTTGCGGTGGGTTCAGCAGCCACAGGCTGGAGTGCTCGGTGTGACACGGGTGGGCACGGCTCCCCGAGTGTCTGTGGGGTGGCTGTTCATACCGGCTATGGGGCTGAGCCCTGCTTTCCAGCTTTCATGGCCGTGCTGCTTCCATTTAAGGAAGAAAGCATAACACACACCTAACTCCAGATCCCAAATCCAGTGGAAACCTAGCCGGGAAGCACTCGACGGGAAGCACTACGATAGCGAAGCTCTTGAATGACTTAAGATTCTTGACAGCCTTGGTCAGTATCAGAGACAGTTTCCAACTGGGCAAAGTACAATATTTTCTCTCTGTTTTTTATGAATGGCTGGATAGGATTGTGCCGGAGTCAGAGTCCCCTGCGAAAGCCATTCATAAAAATAACAACACAACAAAACAAACACACACACACAAAACTTTCCAGGTCCAGTCCAGAGCCACTGGGTGCCAGAGGCTGGGAAAACATGCTGGCAACTCGAGCCCCAGCTATCACTGAAAGTATTCAAGGGGCTTTTTGGTGGTCTGAAAAGTATGAAGTGCTGTGTAGAAGGGCAGCTGGTAGAATTACTGTGACACATACTAGGCAGAAAGCCAGAGCTGGCCTTGTTTCAGACATTGTCTTTCCTCTCATTGAAGTGTCAGGACCTAATTCATGGAAAATTTGGTGAGTTGGCAGCTCTTTCAGAAGATTTCATTGAGCTACAGTGTGTGAGAGTCACATGAATGCAGAGTGCATGGCCAAAAATACATGGGGATTTCTGAGCAGGAAAAACCAGTCAGCCTCTAAGAATGTCTGTGGATTTCATGTGGTTTGAGAGTAAACATGTGCACAGGTGTAATCAGCAAGCAAACCAAGAAAATAAAGCAGAAAAGCACCAGTGGCAGATTACTGAAGAGCTCAATGAGTTCTGTTCTTTGAAACAAATCATGGCTTTGTCCAAGGGCAGAAGATGTCCATTAATGAGTTCAGGGCTTGCAGCCCACCTGGAGAAGGCATCAGTAAAATGTGTGCCTTGGTAATAGCTTCTCCATTGCAAGGGTATTTAATGGAAAAGAAACGGGTCCACCCTGAAGTTTAAAGATGAACCCAGTCATCACATAGGGGGGGGTTCTCATACTTGCTTGAGAGCAGAACTTGGAGCCTGGGGCACAGACACAAAAACATAACAGCCCTAGGATTCCACTGAATTAGGAAAAGACTGAAGATAAACAAAGCATCTCTTGTTCAAATGGGACACTTGTGGTGGGCAGCCTGAATTGAATCAGTTACATACAATTTACATTTTCATTGATCCTTCCCGCTGGAATATTGCTCCGAAAGGCCAGTTACACTAAACTGCTTATTCAGAAATATTCAAGTTATTTCCTACTACACTGTCATGAAAATTAGGGTTTTGGCCATGCAGAGGGACAGCATGTTGGCTTCTGCCCAAGAGAGGCACTAAAATCACGGCTAGGATTAGGAACAGGCAGGAAGGAAGGGCAGGAAGAAAATCATTGAGTGCAATTCATATACTTTGAAAACAGAAAGTCAGGGGGAGGGGAGAGAGGCTGCAGCTTTGCCCCACTAAAGTAAGAAAAGCTCTTTTGTGCTCTTGGTGTCAGGATTTCATCCTTTATCTGTGGTCTTATTGTTCCATGCTGCTCCTAGCACCCACAAGGTTTGTTACACCAGCTGGGTGCTGGTGGTGTATTTTAAATGTGCCTGTATTAGTGCTTTATTTGATACTCCCCCTCCTTCCCTGGGGTGGGGCTGAAACACACTAGCACCTTGGTGGGTCTTCTGACTCCTGTGGGGACCGTGTTTCCCATTCCCAAGTGGAAGCAGCCAGGAGGGAGCCTCGCTGAGGATCCCTTGGCTGTACCACCAGGTCATGCACAGGCAGGTGGGCACAGCCTGTGGTTCTCCCTGCCCACACAGCCAACCTGCCCGATGATGGGCATCCCCAAAAACACGTCAACAGGCTCATGAGGGTCAGCGCTGCATCACCTTTGTGCAGCTAAAGGTCTCAAACTAGAACTTGTGAGGGCTGAGGCCACTGCCTACCCAGCCTCCTGGCTTTCTTTGGCAGGGATGGCTTGCATCAAGTGGGAAGCCCTGGCTTGGAAATGTGGTTATGTGTCCCTCATCTCTCTGTCTAAGCTGTGCTCCTGCTTATAGGCAGGGGGAGGACTTTGCCACAGTGGAACATTACACTCATAGCTGAAAGTGGTAAGAGAGTGAACAGCATCAGTGGAGACAACAAACTCTAATTACAGTATTAGGCCACTCTCACTGTCTGATAAGTAGTGCAGCAAAACAAATCTAGCAGAACCATGGAAGAGCTGAAATATGTAATTAAATCAGATTTCACCTTGGTTTTCATTACACAAACTTAACATACTGCTCTGAATCAACAGTAATCTGAACTACTGCAGAGCGAGGTCATAGATAGGTGTAGGAGAGGCTGGGTGTGAGAGCTATGTTCATCACTCTGTTTTTGAATGTGGGCTTTGCCTGTGTTTTATTTCTGTTGCTGAAAACATTTTTCCCACCATCTGCAAAATCACGGTCAAGTGGCCTCAATGAGTTTCTCACCGTGCTGTTGCTTTACTTTTCAGCCTCAACAAGTGGTTCAAAAGAAGCCTGCTCAGGTAAGAAAAGCGCATTTAAATTCTTAGACTAATTTGAATGGAATAGTTCTTCCATGTTTAAACGGGTCTCTTTTACTGTAAAGAATGAAGGGAAATACATCAATCATTTGAGCTGGGGGACAGCTGTTGGCTTGCTAGGCATAATCACCAGAACAATTCATGCAGTGGCCCTTGGGAAGGAGAGGAGGAAGCAGTAGACAGTGCTTGCTTGGTGCTCTTTCTGCAGAGGCCACCTTGCCATGATAATGCAGGCACACGCACACACAGCATGTGGTAAGTCTCTCTGCATGTCCTGATCATGGGTTAACTGGGGACTGCTTCCAGCAAGGAGAAGGCACAGGCATAAAAACCTTCTCCCCACTGGTCTAAAGCAGTCTTTAAGTCCACAAAATAAAACAGGCTGAACTTGGTAACTAGACTGGATCCATCATAAAGGCTAACACATTTGAACTTTTTCTGTTGGATTGTATTATTCCTCTTTAACACCCTTGGACAAAGTGCAAGCCACAAGGCATTATGAAACGGGTCAAACACTGTGTTACATTTGCCTCCATTTTCTTTCCCCAGCCTGCCCTGTGTTAAAAAAAAACCCAAAATATGACTATGCCAGTTCTTTATATATGCACCAGCAGAGAAAAGACTGTTGGCGTGGGACCAGGTCCATCACTGCTTGGCAGAGTCCATGGGCTGTGCTGCTGTACGTCTATGCTCAGTCAAGAGCATAAAGGGTCCATTGCTTTTCTAGAAAAAGGTCTGCTTTCAGAAGGAAATAATACTTCTGTTTTTCTGCCTTATGGTTTCAATACATTATTGTACAATGTACATAATTGTGTAATAATAACTGTAATCTGAATTAGGAGCTGTTACATAAGAAACAGAAAACATCCTAGCTGTGAGTTGAAGGGGTGAAATGATGTAGCTCTCCAAAGCACGTACAGGGATCAGGTTTCTACAAAATGGAATCAATACAGTTGCAGCAATGGTGAATCCATGGCACTGGCAATAGTATTAATGTCTCTCCAAATGGCAGAGATAACACACAGGATAAATGTAGTAGTATTTTCTATTGAGGTAAGTTTTGCAAGGAGAGGTAATGTCTTATATTAGGCCAGCTTGTGCAAGAAACACAACATCCGTCTCCAAGGACTTACTGTCTGTAACCCTTGGACTACCCCACACAATTCAAAACACACCGAATTGTTCTAATAAAAGATATTTCCTCTCCCTGGTCTCATTTACATCCTTGAACTGTTACAGCCGCTATCGGGCTATTCCTACTACAGCGTGGTAGTAAATCTGGCAGTGGGCACAAGGCCAGTCATCTCCTCTGTGGCACCTGAGAGACAGGGAGGCTTAAACCCTGCTGTGTGAAGGAGGCCAGATCTGGGAGGCAAAGCCTCCCAGGAGCTGGTTCATGTTGCTTTTTCCTCTGGCACGTAGCAGAGCTCATACCCACTGGGATCAGCAGGATGAAGGGGTCTAGAGCTAGTTGCTGTGCCCGCAGCCTGGCTTGGCAGAAGCCCTTGCTGCTGATGGCATGTGTGGAGCTGTGAGGTCTCCAGTCTCCACGGGCACTTACTCCTGCAATTGTTTTGTTTGAACAGTAATCAAGTGCTAGCCCTAGTGCAAGAGAGGAAGAAACGTCTGGGTCTGAGGCTGAGCTGGGGTGTGGGAGGACAAAGAGGGAACCTGGGACTCCATCTTCTGGTAGCAGAACTAAGTAATGACAGATTTAATTGATGGTGAAATGATGTAGGCGTTTAAACTAAAGCACCAGGGTTCCCTGTGTGGATTTTCCTGACCCTTCTTTCCTGAAGCAGTGATTCGGGTGGGGATGCTGTAGGGTGTTTCAGCCAGACGGATGCAGCCGCTGCTACACGGAGCCTCGGCAGCATCTCTGTGGTCAGAAGCAGAGAAAGGGAAAAGGAAGCCCTTTGACATTCCCATTAGTAATGGAAATGTTTGTATAGAAAATGAGGAGGCACGGAAGAATGCATGAAAGGAGAGAGAAGGCTTTTTAGAAATCCCCAGTCACCACAGCGCAACTAGTGAAACGGCACTCTTTGAGTTGTTTGTATGCCATGTCTTCACTCAGAGAACATGGCTTTGTTTTTGAGTCCTTGGCCTGGGGGATGCTCAGTGAAATCATTGACTTGTCTTTAACCCTTTCTGGTTTTAACAGGCCACTCTCCCATGCTTGCACAACATTGAGGTTTTGCTGGGTGTGGGTACAGAGAACAAAACCTATCACTGTGAGCAAGCGCTAACGACAGTGTCTTCCTGAGGTTGAAAGCAGGAGGTAAAGCAGTGTAATTCCTGGGACAGTGATCAGGAGCTTCATGCTGCTGGGTTTCACTTAAGTCCAGTTGCCTTCCTCCAATTTCTTTTTACACTACTGAATTTCCCTTTAAAGGAGGGAGGTTCAGACTCAGAATTCAGACAAGAACATGAGCTCATGCAGGCTTCCTAATCTGAGCTGTCTAAGGAAATAGTGATAAATTATATAAACATGGGGACTACATGGAAGTTCATGGAGGATAATGTAAATCTTACACTACATTCAGAGGAATCTCTTCCTTTTCCATCTGTTTCCTTCAAAATATCCTCCCAGATGGCTTTACCATGTGGCAGTCTGGACTAAGTTAGAAGTGTATCTTTTCTTCATCAGTGGGGACTGGAAGAGGTTACACTTGAGAACTGCTATGTGATAGTGAGCGTGTTACCCCAGCCTGCTATGGTAAAAGCGGCAGAAACTCTTGGTCAGGCTTCATCCCTGAGTGTTTTCCTGTGCTTTGAATTTTTGTTGTGTTCTCTTAAGTTTTCAGTGAATGTTAGGTTACATTGCCATTACTCTTACTGCTGCTGCTGCTTGAGAGGTGGGCCTGGGCAAACCTCATGAAGTTCACTCAGCAAGGCCATGTGCAAGGTCCTGCACTGGGGTCAGGGTAATCCCAAGCTCAAATACAGGCTGGGCAGAGAGTCAATTGAGGGGAACCCTGAGGAGGAGGACTTGGGAGTGTTGGTTGATGAGAAGCTCAACATGACGCAGCAGTGTGCACTCACAGCCCAGAAGTCAGCTGTATGCTGGGCAGCATCAAAAGGAGCGTGACCAGCAGGTCGAAGGAGGTCTCTTATGAGACCCCACCAGCAGTCCTGCATCCAGCTCTGGAGCCTCCAACACAAGAGGGACATGGAGTTGTTGGAGGGAGTCCAGAGGAGGCCATGAAGATGATAAGAGGGCTGGAGCACCTCTCCTATGGAAACAGGCTGAGAGAGCTGGGATTCTTCAACATGGAGAACAGAAGGCTCCAGGGAGACCTTAGAGCAGCTTCCAGTACCTAAAGGGGGCCTATAAGAAATCTGGAGAGGGACTTTTTACAAGGGCATGAAGTGACAGGACAAGGGGGAATGGATTTAAAATTACAGAGGGTGGATTTAGATTAGATATAAGGAAGAAATTCTTGATTATGAGGGTGCTGAGGCGCTGGCACAGGGTGCCCAGAGAAGCTGTGGCTGCCCCATCCCTGGCAGTGTGCAAGGCCAGGCTGAAATGACGCTTTGAGCAACCTGGTTAAGTGGAAGGTGTCCATGCCCATGTCAGGTAGGTTGGAACTGAATGATCTTTAAGGTCTCTTCCAACTCAGACCATTCTGTGATTCTAGTGCCTATGCCTCTTGGGTTTGTGTCGTTTTTAAAAATAAGCAGAAAAAACAGGTAAGATTCTCATTTTACGAATAACAGCGCAGTTCCCATTACTCTTTCCCACATTTTAAGCTCCATGCAGAGCTCCATCGTACTCTAAATCTCTTTATGAATATCTGCTGTCCAGTTTAGGGCCATACAGACGCCTGTATAAACCTTTGCGATGTCTTCAAACATCCGCAAAGCACTGAGTGTCTACCATCACACAGACGGTAAATGCAGCAGTAAAATCCACTGGAAATCCACACACCCATATCATTAATGCAAACCTTTAAACACTGTGGTCTGTACACATCTTTGTGATGATCACTGACTCATACTCTCACACTTCCTTGGGAAAACGAGGGAAAGATAGCCAGCCTAACTGCGTGACATCGGTAAGTTTAGCACTCTCATGGAAATACGTGCCTAAACCTCAAAACCAAGACATTCCTTTGAAATCTGCTCTGTCTCTAAAGAATGACAGCCAGATCCTACAACCATGATGCAGGAATATTCTTACCGAGCTGTGTAAATAAGCGGTCCAAATAGAAATGTCTCAATTTTCCGAGTTTTTAAGCAATTTGTAGCAGCTGTAGACTCAGCCATATGGGGGAGTTACACACTTAGGTAATACAAAGGAAATAGATATATTTAGGAAAACATCATGAAAGCTATCAGAGTGTTCTGGAAACAGGACATGTTTTATTTTTATCATTCTGGAGAGAAGAAATACGGAGTGTAGAACAGCCCTTTGAAAATCTTCCTATAATCTCTTTGGGAGGTCTATGCAAATCTCAAATCCTTTGTATCTGAGTCTGAAAGACAGCATATCAGTTGAAAGACAGTCAGAAAAGTAGGCATAGAGTGTATATAGAAAGGTGTACACAAAAAAGTGTACAGAAAAAGTACACCAAAATGCACAAAGTGTACTTTGGCATCTAATGCCAAATGCAGTAGATGCTTTCAAAACAGTGATCAGAAAGATCAAATCCAAACAAGAATAAAAGCTAAAAAAACAGTGTAATTTTGCATAGGAAATAAAATGCAGATTTGCTGTATTTTTTTTTTCATGTTACTCATTTCTAAGTCTTGATATCAATAAGGTTACACATGTTAATTATTCCATATATAGATATATGTAGATACATATATACACACACTCACAACCACAAGTTATATATGTTCCCCAGCCGCACCCATCACGTATGCCTACTCAATGTAGAGCACAGTAAGGCTCTGCAGCCCAGGAGCTACATCTGTGATTCACACATTCATATGCAGCCCAAAAGCAGCAGGCAGTAAGCAGAACTGAGCCT